AGTAAAGACTTGTGTCGTTAAATTTTCGTTGGAACGAAGTTACGGAAAAATCAATTAACAAACGGAGACGTAACAATATGGAATCAGCGTAATCTAGTGATGCCTGTGATGTCACATTTTTAGTGTCAATGAAAACTTTGTAATCTAATTTTTTCAACTGAATACGGGCCATAATTTGGGGAAATGACGTCAGAAAAATTTATGTGTATTTCATAGAGAAGTATGCTGCCATTGTGGTGTCAGAACATAAATCCAGCAAACGCTGCCGTGTCTACTAACAAGCAAGAATAGATAAGTTGAACCCACGAAATTCGGCAAAAATAAAATGGTTTTATTCACTTTATTTTGGGAGGGGAGAGGGAAGTTACGTATAATATACATTTCTGACACTGATTATGTACCTCAGAGCAAAATGTCGAGAGAAAGAAAGAAAGAAACAATTCTGATTGTCAATCATAAGCAGCAAAATGTATGCTACAAGAGCGAAAGAGTGAGACTCCACAAGAAAGGGAAACACGCCTTTACAACCAACGAAAAAGATAAGCTGCTTATCATCAAGCCAAGACTGAGTAAGAGTGGCAATTTCGCAGAGACAGTGACTGTATCTGCCACGCAGACCACCATTCTTTCTCTTTAAAATAGCTAAATATCGGCTCTCTGTTTCATTTCAGTCGTCATAAAACAAATTCAGAATTCAGCCAAACTAAGAATGTTCAGTTAAAATCCTCATAATCTAGGATTAATAATCATGCTGTTACTATTGTATGTCAACTTACACTCCTAAGAAACTCAATTTTTCACTCCAAGTGAAATATGCATACTCTCCGGGTATGTAACTCCATAAAGTTCTCACTGCTCAGTTAGATCAAGGGAGTGCTTGAGATACATTCACTCAGTGACTTGACTAGCAAGGAACACAACTTTTTTGCAGTTGAGTTTTGGAACTCCTAGATTCCATCTTCAGTTGTGTAAACAGTAGATGTTCTTAGCATTACATCTAATTGCCCCAGCTGTTATAACTTGTGATAATCACATCAACATAGAGGCATATTTCCTGCCTGAACGTGAGTATATTTGTTAAACAGCCTTTAGACCTCTGTTCAGTTGCTCTGTATGCCATCATAATCTAAAAAAATGTTCATTCCGGTTGGTTTGGCCAGGATTAAAAATATGGCAAGCATACACTTGGTTTTTTGTATTACCCATTCTGCTAAGATGACAAAGGGTTTGTTTGTTTGTTTGTTTTTGAATTT